TTCCAAAGTACCAAAAAGCAAGATAAGAAACAGTGGACCAAAACTAACCAAGGAGAGAAGCAACTTAGAACTAAGGAGAAATTTCCTAACGGTGATAGCAATTAACCAATGGAATAACTTGCCTTCAGAAGTTGAGGGTGCTCTATCACTGAAGGTTTTCAAAAAGAGATTGGACTACCATTTGTCTGAAATAATGTAGGGCCTCCTGCTTGAACAGGAGGTTGGACTAGAAGACCTCTGAGGTCCCTTCCAATTCTATTATTTTATGTTCTATATGTCTCCATCTGAAAGAAGTATACTTTGATGCTCTTGGCTTATCAAGCTAAGCAGACCGTTTCATCTCCATCAGCTATTTAGACCATTGGGAGGTCTATGTTGAGAAAGAAGATGCTGGCTGAAATCCGAGGCTTAAAATTGAACCAATAAATATAATAAGTGTTCTCTAACCCTGTTAATACAACTTGAGCATAATTAAGTAAGAAAACAGAAGGCTTATTTTATTCTGAAATATGATTGCCAGCACCACACAAAATGAATTCAGAAAATGATGTCAATAGATTTCAAGCATGAGCCAAGGGATTTTGCTCAGTGACAGATTCTTTATTTGCCTGTGAATGACTAATCATCAATTTTAAAAAAATGTAAAGATCCTACTTGCAGTCCAAGGCGATGATATTATGCTAATTATCTGGACTTATAATTTGATTCTGTAGAAGGTCATTTCATATGTTCAAATGATACATGTATACATTACAACATGTTAAACATGAGGCAGGAATCCATTGCCATAATGTTTCATTCTTAAATTAAGTTGTATTAATTGGAACAGACCCATGGTGCCATGGGAGATGTAAAATGATGAACTATTTAGTCCAAAAGGTGTCTCGGGAAGAAAAGCTATTTAACTATGGTTGATATTATATCAAGAAGATTTCTATAATGCCTAGGTCATCCAAATGCAGTAACATTTGTTCCAAATTAGCAGGTTGTTGGATTGTGTATCTAAGTAACAAAACAATCTGTCTACAGTCTTTAGGGGCATTGACAAGTGAGAGGGAAAATGTACACTTATTAGAGCATACTAATTCACTGAATTCTTGGCTCTCTTATAAAAAATTATCAGTGACAACTCATAAATTTAGGAAAAAAACATGAGACAGAAGGAAAGGTACGCTACATTTCACAAAGTCCTTATAGAACTATGTAGTGAATATAATGAATAAACATGTCTTTTTTTAAAGTGATACTTTGTTGAAATATTAAACAGCATAAATATTTTTCAGTTGATTGTGCTGCAGTTCTGCCTTCTAAATATCCTTTCTTGGGGTTAATGTATCTTCTTGGCTCTTATGAATGAATAGCTTTTCAAAATGTGCCTCCGACAAGCCTTAAAATGAATATCAATTTACTTACTGTGACTTTTGTGTGTGCGTGTTTTTAATCAGCATATTTGGCACTGTTTTATTTTATTCAGTCAATGTTGCCATTTGTTTCATGGTCCCCACAGAACTGCTTCTAACCTGTCTGTAGCCATTTTATTAACCCCCAAATTGGCACAGTCTAGAACAGATGCTAATTTTGCAATCAGACAAATCCTCTCATTGTTAATAGAAATAATAATAAACTTAGGTAGTCCTTTTAAAAATGCTGACTAATTGCTCATCTGAGTGCTAGAAAGAAATAATAACTCTTATTGTACAGTAGCTCAGTGATAAATAAAGCCCTTGGTTTGTAATTTATAATTTTTATAATTTATAGATTATAATTTATAACCTCCATCCTGGGCAAGACATCCCCGTTTTTTAAAATGAAATTCTAGGCAAGACAAAATAAAAAATATATATTAAGATTCCTGTGTAGCTGTCATAGAAACATAACTAATATTTTTTTTTGGCCAGATAAAATTTATGTTCCCTAGGGATCGTCTGCTATTGAAGTACAGCTTTCTTCATGACTAGTTGGCTATATGTGGGTTGATGGTCCTATTATTAACTTTAAAAAAACCTTCTTAGGTTAGTCTGAAATATTTAGCGAGTTGCCTTAGCTAAGGGAGATATTTTGAAGAAGGTTGTTTGGTTGGATTAGACAAGGATTTCAGCCTTGTCTTAAAGACATGCCACCTCTTATGTGTTCATTTCCAAAAGTTTATACAAGGGCTGGGAATTTAAACACACATAACTTTCATCTAGTCTGGTTCAAAACTGAGTTGATTAGTTAAAAACTTGTGTAATTCAACTGGGTATCCTAGAATATGTCAAGCTAGTCATTAAGACATTCTCCATTTCTTTTTCCTTCTTTACCTGCTTTATAAAATAATTATACTGAATTTAATGAAGTTTTTGTTAGTGACAGGTTTTCATTCCTTTCTTGGGTGTCTAGCCAAAGAAGAAAGACACTGAGGTGTTACATTCCTTTGTGGTCACCATTGCTTAGTTGTCTGTCAGTACAGCTTTCAGAAACTCAGCTAAGATGGAGGGAGATCAAATTCAGAAAAAATATACAGGGTTTAAGAATATCTTTTTGTAATTTTTCATTGGATTTTGAAACTTCTAAAACTATGTCTTACTATTTCCTTTCTGAATTTATTTGGGGTTGATTACTTTCATTTGTTGGTTTTCCAAAAGGTACAGTTGGTTTAAAGACTCAGTTTATTAAAGTCAACGTCTCTTTTCAAGCAGCTGTACCTTTGTTTAAACTTCTTTAAAATTTGGAAAAATAAATTATTTTCTTGTTTGCTAGTATGTGACAAATGTGTATTACAACAAGTTACTGAATTCCTAGAAGATAATCATAATTTCTTTTTAAATGTGCTAGTTTTCCTTTGCAAAACATTGTATCTTCTGAAATTACACCAAAGCAATACATTTCATCTTCAGATAATTTTTGTAGGTAAATGAGTTTGGAGGGAGGTGTAAAATGTCAACATTAATGTCAACATTAAAATGTCGACATTATTGCAAACATCTTGTAATGGCTTGAAGCATAATAGGTACTTCTACTCTATCAAGGGAAAAGAACCCTTTCTCCTGTTATTGTCTGTTAATTTCAATAACGTTACTTGGCTGGAGTCCACATTTTGTGTATAGGATCTTTAGATCAAACTTTGAGAGCAATAGGAGTCTAAATAACTGGGATGAAAAATATGGATTCATTCCATGTGAGACTAAGATTATTTTTTCCATGTTTTGCCTTTTTGCTGTATCTTTGAATTATGTGCAGTTCACATCTGCTGTCATATTGTCTCCCTTTGTTACTCAGAGTAGTAATGGTTTATTCTCTGAATTTTAATATCATGGCATTCTGAATCGCTTAACTTAGCATGATATGGTTATAGTATCACTTTAGAACTTTCTCAGTTACACATGGAGGTCAGAATAAAAGGGACAAACCCTAATGCCAGAAAAATGGCATTATTCTGTATTTCTTCATGTGCAATCTTTGGGAGTGGGGGGGCGGCTGTTTTGAGTCAGTGTTGACATCACCAGACTGCCTGGAGAAGTCCCTACAGCTTTTTTTGGCAAGATTTCAGAAGTGGCTTGCCATTCTTTGCTTTCTAGAGCTAAGAGAAAGTGACTGGCCCGTTGACAGTCAGTTGGTTTCACGCCTAAGGTGGAACTCAGCAGTCTCCCAGTTTCCAGCCTGGTGCTTTAACCCCAACTGGCTCTCCATATAATAATAGCACCAGTTTGGTGTAGTGCTTAAGGCAACTGGGATATTAGGAGCCTCTGTGGCGCAGTGGTTAGAGTGTAGTACTGCAAGCTACTTCTGCAGCCAGCTGCCTACAATTTGGCAATTCAAATCCCATCAGGCTCAAGGTTGACTCAGCCTTCCACCCTACCGAGGTGGGTAAAATGAGGACCCAAATTGTTGGGGGCAATATGCTGACTCTGTAAAATGCTTAGAGAGGGCTATAAAGTGGTATATAAGTCTAAGTGCTATTGCCATTAAGAGTTCTAGTTCCACTTTAGGAACATAGCCAGCTGAGTGACCCTGGGCCAATCATTCTCTCTTAGCTTTAGGAAGAAGGCAACAGCAAGACACTTCCGAAATCTTCCCAAGAAAATTTCAGTACAACAAATAAGTCCAGGCAGCATCTAGGAGTCAACACTGACTTAAAGGCATCATATAACTTTACCATTTCCAAAATCCCTGTTGAAATGCTATTAATGCTTCTAGAAGCTGGTGTTCTGAATTAAATATATTGCTAAATATGGGAGACTATTCAGATGGTAAAAGTTTTAGTACTGTGTTTGTAACTGAGGATTACATTTATTAATCCTTATTTTATGGCACTTAGTAGGATACTGCGCTAATAGGATACATGAATAGTTAGGAGAATTTCTCAGCTTAATAATAATATTAAGCAACACAAAAGCTTATGATAAGCTTTTCCATACATTTAATATAAAGGAACTCCATGTACGGGTCTAGGACATCTCACTGCAGCCAACTTGCTGCACCCAACTCTCCAGGGCCAACTTGCCACAGTCAACTCGCTATGGGAAAACTCGCCATGGACAACTCGCCACAGGGCAAATGGCCACAGATAAGAGTTACACTAATATAAGAGGAAGAAATGGTGGAATAGAATCATTAAAGGATGCCAAAGGAGGGGCAAAATGAAATGTGAATGACAAAAATTAAAATATTTTAAATAATTAAATTTAATTATTGATTTGTCCCATGGCATGTTGTGCCATGGTGAGTTGGCCATGGCAAATTGGCCGCAGCGAATTGTCCCATTCCGTAATTGTGAATCATGTTTTAGCAAAGAAAAAAAGATCACATTGCCCTTTTTTATTCAATGTGTAAAGCAAAAAATATTTTTAAAATCATTTCCTTCTGAAAAAGAAATCCTACTTTGTATCTGATACCTTAATTGTTCAACTTTTATTTCCAACTATAAAAGGGAAGCAAAAGAAAGAGCTTCCCAGGACTGCTAATAGAGCTTCCTGCCACTAATCCACCAATGCCTGGTATTTTTTCCTTTCGCAATTTAGTATGGAACTGAAGATTTAATCGAATATGACTATGACTATGGGGATCCAGATTATAAAGATTATAAAGATTATAAAGACCTTGAAACTGTAACAGAGGGACCCCCACTATACGACGAGACTGTAGCATACACTGAGGTAACAGCACGTGGTGTATATCTTGTCTGATGTCCGTCAGTCCGTCCTGTCTGTCTGATGGTTTGTCCACGTGGTGTCTTATTGTTGATCAAGCTCATTCTCTCTGCTTTCCTTTCCTGTTTTGCCCATGAAAGCTCATTTTAATTCAACAGGGGCAGCCAGGGCAATTGACAGGAAATCGTTATTTGTCATCCTTTGCTTGTCCTGATGTCTTTCATGTCTTACTGTTCTCCCCCTGTTGTTTGTTTATGTTCTCCCATTCCATCTTTCACCCCCTTTTTCAGAAAAAGAACAAAGCCCCAAAGAAGAAGAAGAAGAAGACAGGGATCTCTAGCTCAAACAACAATCCCCAAAAGCTCAAACTCAAAAAATCTGAAACACTGCCATCCAAGAAGAAGAAAAGCTCTCGAGCTGCAGCCAAAGGCAAAATAGGGGTAAAAGTAGCTCAGAAAAAATCAAGATCTCTCCTAGACTGAGTTTGGAAGATCTCTGATGATGACAACCAGTATCTCTACCCTTTGTAGATGAAAACACCCCTGGCTAATATTTTAAACTAGCTAAACAGAATTTCTCCTTAAGTGTTTGCCTTTTTCCCTTGCCTGTTAACTTTGTACTTTTTTCCTTTTGCATTAGGCCAATGTTGTTGATGAATATCATGAGTACAATGTGGCTGAAGTTGACTATGGAACTGAAGCTTACCAGACTGCGATTCCTACTCAGACCACTAGACGAAATGAGGTAATGAAGAAGAGAGAAATATAAAGACATGGCTATTTCAAAGATTTTCATCAGTTAAAAAAAAATTACCATGTCATTATCAGCTAACCAGAAAACCAGTTTGGTGTAGTGGTTAAGGCACCGATCCAGTAACCAGGAGACTGTGAATTCTAAACTTGCCTTAGGCATGAAAGCTCCTTTGGGCCAGTCATTCTTTCTTAGCCCAACCCACCTCACATGCTTGTTGTGGGGAAAATAGGACTAGGATTATATATGTTTGCCTCCTTGAGTAACCCACAAAGTAATAAAGGCAGGGTAAAAAGAAATCTAATAAATAAATAAAATAATGTCATTTAAGAGAACAGTTAAAGACTAAAGTTATGTGTGTTGTACACCAGAGATCCAGTTTTGTGGTATTTCATAGTCACATTCAGTCTACCTGAGAAATGACTTCAAGAGATTCCTATTTTCTGTAGGAGTGCAATTGCATACGTTTTTGAATGTCAAGAAGACATTCAATAATAGCCAAGCAAAACTCGAGGATTTTTAAGCATGATGTAAGACATTGCCCACAGTTTTGATTTCAGTGGCATGAAAGTAAGTATTAGGTGGAATTTTTTTTCCAGTAGTCATTACAGACAAGATGTGCTCCAATTGAGACTCCTACTTAAGAGAGAGAAAAAAACGTAGTGAGAGTCAATTTATTCACATTTATATTACAGTCTCATTTATACCAAATACTGAGTGAAAATGAAGTAGGTGTAACTATGAAATCTAGATGCACAACACCATGAAGATAAGCATCTGGATGTCTTCTGCTTTACTCAAATGGTTCCTAGTTCAGTCAGGGCACCTATACACATAACTTTTGTCAAGTACAGTTCTTATTTCCTGGTTAGGAATATTTGTTTCTATAACTCCAGAATTTACAATTCAGCTGCATTTGAAAAATATGCACTGATTTCTAAATGTATCTTGCTTTAGGCTATGAATCAAAAGCTTTATTGAAAATTAGCCTTAAACTTTCTATGGCTGATATCTGCTCATTTCTGAATGTCTGTAATCAGCTAATATTTATGAATGTGGATACTGTGGTTCATAAATATTGCCCTGCTGTGGGGAAAAAAAGAGATTTTAAGCAATAATTTCTAAAGTTTTTGGATTCTGCTAAAGCAGATACATTTATTGTGGGGCTTGATTGGTCTTATTCTAAAGCTAACTTCTCTGCATATTGAGGAAAATGCTATTTAACTAATGCTAGTGCTTAACAGTTTAATGCTTGGTTTCACACAGCTCTCAATCAGAACTTTCAGAGTTGATAACTTCCGCGATAGTGGCTTTTTATGCTCAATCAATGTTGAACAATGTTTTCTTTATTAAGGATATAAAATTGAACTTGGATAAGCTTAACATTTTGCAAAATGGTGCATTCAGATAAAAAGACTTAGCTTTCATCTGTTCTGCTTTAAGTGCGCATGGATTTTTTTTAAAAAAAATCTTAATGTAGATTGGACAGGGTCCTGCAGATTATCTAGTCCAAGTCCTTCTAGTATGGGAATCCATTACTGCAACTTCCCTTCTATTCACCTCTAATGAAGAAGGGGCATCTGCATCTTAGAGCAGTCTACTCCATTTTGGATAATTCTTACCATTACATTTTTTCCCCTTGCCGCCAGCTAAAATCTACTTCCTTGTAATTTAAGTTCATCATTTATTATCCTGTCTTCTGGATCAACTCTACCCTATTTTCTTCAGAGAAACCTTTAAAACACTTGGCAAGTCATTTTAGGACATAAAAATATGACAGTTACGTAGCATTAGTCAATATCTCATTATAGCTTGGTACATATTTTGAATACTGTTACTGACATTAATATGTGTGAAGCCAAGCATAAAAACTTAGAAGTAATTCTGGTAAATAAACACACAGAGAGACACTACTGTAGTTATGTCTTAGGAATGGCATACCTGAAAAACTCAATTTAAAAAATTGGACTAGTGAGAATTTGTCACTAAATAATCTAACTACATCAATCTACACAGTCTACACAGGATTTCATTTAATATATGCATAAATGATAAAGTATCAATCTTCAAAAAAACTAATTTCATTGTAGATAACTATGTATTTTGGAGCATTCTTTTAATAACTCTGAAAAACTGGTTTCTGAGTTTTTCAGAAATAAGTTAAAAGATGTTGTTTTAGTTTGCAAACCATTATATTAAAATCTGCAAAATGCTTACATTGCTTTACTAACTATAATCCACATATTCATCCTATTCCTCCAAACCTCAACTGCTTATATGAATAGCAACTTCCTGTTGAAGAAATATTTACTGAAGAATACGTAACGGGAGAGGATTATAATTCAAAGACTAAAAATAATGAGGAAACAGATTATGGAAACAGAGGAGTAGACCACAGCGAAGCTGAAGTTGTGGTAGATGGAGATTTAGGCGAATATGATTTTTATGAATATAAAGACTATGAAAAGAAGCCAACCAGTTCTACTAATGAGGAGTTTGGGCCTGGAGTTCCAGCAGAGACTGATATCACAGAAACAACCGTAAGTTGGATACACCTGAGGTAGTAATCAAAGATGCTTTAATGGCTAGCAGTTTTATATGGGTGTCCTTTTTATGATAAAAATATTTCCTATCATTTAATTAGAGATGGAAAATGGAAAGAGAATATTTACAGGTAGTCCTCACTTAACAACCATAATTGAGGTCAGGATTTTGGTCATAAGGCATTGCAGTCATTGGGTGGGATATCATGAGTCCTGACTTGATTTCACTATTTTTATGACAATCTCAAGGCAGTCCCCACAGTTATGATGAGTTATGATGAGAATTATGTGGTTGTTAAGGAAGCCATGAGGTGTTAAATGAATCTCCATTCTCCAACTGGTGATATTTGCCAAAACACCAGCAAAAACTGTTGCAAATTGTGGTCACATTACCACAGGACATTGCAACTGTTTGTAAATGTGAGCCAGTTTTCAAGCATGACAAACATAACTTCAAGGATGGATTGTAAGTAACATTTTTGGATCTGTTGTAATTTTGAACGGTCATGACATAAGTGCTTGTTAAGCGAGGTCTACCTGTGTATATACTTCCATAAAAATGACATGGTTAAAAAATCAATTTTCAAAAAAAATAACCTAGTATGAACATAGAATTGTGAATTTGGGAGTTCTTCATCCACTTCACATGTTTTGTTGTCTTGTGATCACCATTTATAACCTTCCCAGCTGGCTTCCCACAAAAAAAGTTGTTTGGGAAGCCAGATTCGCTTAACGACTGCATGAGTCACTTAACAACTGCGATGATTTGCTTAACTGTTGTAACAAAAAAGGTCATAAAATAGAGCGCAATTCACTTAACAACTGCCTTGCTGGTCAATGGAAATGTTGGGCTCAATTGTGCCTATCAGGTGAGGGCTGCTTGTAAGTAAGCAAGACTGTAAATAAGTGGATTTCTGCTCCCTCATGCACAAATGGCTGAATATACAGTTTGTATTTACAAACCATTTGTGTTTATGACTGCTTAATTCCCACAACTACTTCAGTAAATAAACTGAAGCCTGTGCACACCCCACAGCCCAAAAAAAAAACCCAGCCTGCCACAAACATTTTGGAATCTATAGAACAAAAAATGTTGCTAGTCACAGACTGAAAATCATGGATTTACCTCTTAGAAAAGTGGTTTTCAGGATTCTTTTTAAAGGAGAAAACATTATCATGAGACCTTTGTTGTACAGACTGCACCTCCACTGTTAATATTAATGTGCAGGAAGTAAGCAAACAGATACTACATAGAAAGGTAGTGCATTCAGTGGATGTTTATATCAGAGCTGTTAGTTTGGATGGATTCTGCTAAGCTATTTTGTTTATCCGTTTGTTAATATGGGGGACTACTTTGTTGATCAATAGTAAATCACACACTTTATATGCAGCTATTCAAAGTTCTGTCCCAGGCAACTCCAGATAGGATTGAGTTTCTGTCAGTGCAGTTAAGGCAGGATAGAAGCTTATATTGATATAAAGCAGCATATTAATCTCCCATGGAATTTAGGAACTCACAAATTAAGAACAGATCAAAGTGTTCACGTTCATGGCATGCTTTGGTTTTCAATTTTGTGAAGATCTAAGGAAAAACCAATAAATTCTAAGACTCTCAGAATGTTCTCAGAGACAAGGTATTTAAGTCTTATTAAATATTACGGTTCTTTGCACTGTCAGCCAGATGATCAGACTGAATTTGGCATTTTTGACTACTCCTCGAGCCTTTTCTAAGGACCTGTTGTTGTTGTTATTACCCATGCCCTTATGTATTTGTGCATTGCTTCGGTAGGTGAATGGCCATCAGGTATATGGAGAAAAAGGACAGAAAGGAGAAGCAGCTGTCATTGAACCAGTGAGTATGCTATTATAAATATTATATAAAATGATAATAAAATTATATATATTATATAAATATACAGGCACGTATAACAACTAGAACATAGGAAATGCAGTTAAAATATAGCAGTGTTAATAAAGTCAGAAAAAATATAGAATAATGAATAAATGAGCAACATTTGTAAAAACTAAAGGTATATCCATAAAATGTTAATACAACAGTATTTCAATTTTTAATGTATTATTAAATTTAGACATAGAAACCATTTATAGCTCCTTCTCAGTTTTAGTACAACGTGTTACTTCATCACAGTTATATTTATATTTATATTTAATACCCGAGCAAAGCTGAATTACATAGATAGATAGATAGATAGATAGATAGATAGATAGATAGATAGATAGATATAGATATAGATATAGATATAGATATAGATATAGATATAGATATAGATATAGATATAGATATAGATATAGATATA